GGAAGGGAGACTGAGGAAATGCTTCCTCCTGCCTCCAGCAGTCTGATCATTGGGGGAGGGGAGACTGAGGAAATGTTTCCTCTTGCCTGGTGCAGACTGATGCCTGGGGGAGGGGAGACTGAGGAAATTTGCAAAATGGAATTGTTTTCCCCCCCTGGTCATTCCAAATAAAACTGCTGCAGAGGCACCCAATGTACAATTTAAAGCTGAAGCCCGGGCACAAACAAAACTTTATTTAAACATATTCCTCAATAGACACAAAGTATATATATCCACCAAATGCTTTTGCTAACCCAGATATGACCTTGTAAAAGAAGCAGTGACATAATCACTTTGCTGTACATAGCCTATGTAGAGAGCAGAGCTGTGGGAGGGACCAAACCAGATCCACCCACTACTAGCTGCCTGCAGAAATCTACAGGAGGGGGCGGAGTCAAGACCAGCCACCATGCAGAAGGAGAGGAGCAGCAGTGACCGGTCTTTATTACAGGAGGGGGAGGAGACAAGACCAGTCACCCTGCACAAGGAGAGCGAGCAGCAGTGAGCGGTCTTTATTACAGGAAGCTTCAAGTCTCACACTGGATGACTGCACAGATCTGGAAGAAATACACAAAGATCACCGATATTCAGGAAGAACACACAGGACTCTTGTAGGAGGATATTGTTTCCGTATCCCGGAGTTCAGCTTTAATATTTATATTTTCTAATAATTACTCTATTTCCAGCTCAATGTACCCAAATGTGGGTGGAGTCACCATCAAATCTATTCAGGACTCCCGCCCAAGTCCCTACTGTAAAGAGAACCCTCTACCAGCAAAGTACAGATAAATGAAGTTTTGTTGCCTCTTTTTGCTTCCTGTATGTGTCTTTTTCAGCACAATCCTGAATATAGAGTGAGGCTCAACAGCAGGCCTGTCAGGGGTTAACAGATTAAATGTATTGTGGATCGGAAGGGGTTAACACATGAAATGTAATGTGGGCAGGGTAGGGGTTAATACATGAAATGTAATGTGGGCAGGGAAGGGGTTAATACATAAAATGCATAGTGGGCAGGGAAGGGGTTAACACATGAAATGCATTGTGGGCAGGGAAGGGGTTAACACATGAAAGGCATTGTGGGCAGGGAAGGGGTTAACACATGACATGTATTGTGGGCAGGAAGGGGTTAACACATGACATGTATTGTGGGCAGGGAAGGGGTTAACACATGAAATGCATTGTGGGCAGGAAGGGGTTAACACATGACATGTATTGTGGGCAGGGAAGGGGTTAACACATGAAATGCATTGTGGGCAGGGAAGGGGCTAACACATGAACTGTATTGTGGGCAGGAAGGGGTTAACACATGACATGTATTTGTACAATAACAGGAGGTTGTCACTGTGTCAGGCTCAGAGTCTCTGGGACCTCACCGGCAGCAGGCAGGTAACCCTTCCATCTCTTCCCAATGCTTCTGGCTGGCTGTGTGTATGAGAGAACGAGCTGCAGCTCAACGATTTATCATTTCCAGGCTGTTATTATTTTACTTTATTCTGCGTCGTTGTTATACTAAAGAGTTGGGGCTTATTCAGTCATTTGTTACATTGTGTCCTGTACTTGTGCCATGGTTCCCCGCACTAAAATAAGAGTAACGGAAACCAACCTCATGAGTGGATGTGCATGGCGACTAGCTGCACCGCAATGCAATGTCATTGAAGTTTCTGGTATATCAGCAACATAGTCATCAAAGG